TAAAGTATAAGTTGATTCACTGTTATTTATAACCAACATACCATCTGACAATCAGTCGAAACACACACAAACCATATATCGATTATTTACCAATTTTAGTAGACTGTTTCATGGTAAAACTGTAAAACGATCAACTCACTTAAATGATTTATCGATTTCACCTGTACGTGGACGACTCATTTGTCGTTTGTGAAGATCATATATTAAGTCAGAGGATATCTTAAACTCCCTCAACTCATGCCACCGTTCCATAGACTTCACATTAGAAAGTATGCAAGAACAATCAATCTCTTTCCTCGATTTGCGTCTGATGAGAAGAATTAATGGTTCCTTAAAAAGATCCATCTTTAGAAAACAAACATGGAATGACCAGATAACCGACTTCTATAGCTGGATTCCTTTAAGTAGAAAGAGAAATGTCACTCACTCTTTATGTCATCGAATATGTAGTACGGAATGCGTTGATGAAGAACTCGCATTCCTCATGAAAACTTTGACCAAAAATGGCTATCCAGACCGTTTCATAGAGAAGAAGATGGAAAGAAGTAGTTGAGACAAAAAATCTGGTTGGTCCTTCTCAAAGAAAAACCTTTATATAAGTTTGGAATTTAAAGGTGGTCGAACATCTGATGTAATCAAAAGTCGTTTAACGAAAGCGATTAAAAGGACATCTAATCCGGCGAAACTGCGAATAACCTTCACTAGTAGAAACTTATTTTCTGTATCCATAAAAGATAAGCTTCCGCGTTTTGTCGCCTCTATGTGCATCTACCAGTTCACCTGCTCTTGTGGAGCAAGGTACATTGGCCGTAGCCAGCGCTCCCTTTCAACTTGGCTACGGGAACGCGTTCCAGTTTGGTTCTACAAGGGTGAAAGGAAAACAGTTAGGAGTTCTATAATTGAACACCTAATCGATTGTAATCATTCTGCGGATCCGCAGTTTGATTTTAAGGTTGTATATATATGATTCTTTCAAATCTACCTAGATTTCTTCGTATCCAACTCTTAAAAATAGACGAAACTCTTACCATCCACGAGCTCAAACCAGAACTATGCATACAAAAGAAGTGCGTCCTATCGTTATCGTTACTTTGGCCTTAATTTAGTATTATTATTGCATTTCTCCTTTTACTTATGTCTAATATTCTCATCATTTTATTCATAAATGCTCATCATATCACCTTATTTATTTTTACACCTCTATGACCTTTACTTATTGTAACAAAAATATTTTAATCATCTTATTACATTCATTAAAGGACTAGTAGGTCCTGAGTTGGAATCCCGCGAAGCGAGGTTGTGGATGCGTACTGCTGAGGAGTCCCATCCTGGGACGAAACGGCCATCCACTGCTTCCAGGTTTTCCATAGTGGTCTAGCTTCAATTGACTCATGATCTCAACTATTGAAATTACTACAATTTCCACACAACCCCTTCTGATACTAAAAAACTGAATGATAATAATCATTCATGTCTTCGAGTCATAACATCAACAACAACATTCCTCATCAATATGATTTATTCATTATTGTGGATGTAATGGACGTTCACATACCCATGACATCTTACATAAAGCAATACAAACAACTCATCATCATCTTCCTATCACTTCTTCCCTCTTTCTCTTCTCGTAAATTATTGATTAGGTATCTGAGTATCACTAGAGTGTGCCAAATTGTGTGTAGATCAAATTAGACAGAAAAAATGAATCATTGAATGTCTTTAAACTGGAAAAGTAAAAGCTCATCTCTATTCAATAAGAGTAAAATAAATCAATTTATCAATAACTAATGCAACTAATATTGAAAATACTGATGTACGTGTATCTGTACAGATGGGGGTGGGTGGGTGGTTACAATCATGGTATAAGAAATGTCTGCCTATCACTCACCCATTGATCAATTCCATTCCATTTCAATGATGTTCATCAAAGATTGAATGGTTTTGTCAGTTTTTAGTAAAATGAAAAAAAAGGATCAAAAATCGTTTGAAATAGAACTCACTCAGTATACACGAATGAGTTTGGTATTGAATACATGGATTTACTAAGATACAGTGTTTGAGAATATTCATGATTTACTGTATTGCTAATAGATTCTCTTCAACAGTTTACAAATCATGTTCTATTTGGAATCTGATAATGAATTGCAATGCATCTAGTCATATGACGAGTGAATGTCAGTCGGTGCAGATCAACATGACACGTAGACTCATTGTATATGACTAGTGGGTACATTACACAAAACGTGGATAACATTTCGGTGATTGTTCAAGTAGAAAAGAGAAGGAACACTTAATCAAAGTACGAAAGTGGATAACTGAAACAAGAGGGAGTCATGATGATTAAAACTATGCAGTCTGATACAGTCATCATTAGAGATAGTGGATATTCATTGTTTTATATCAGGAAGTAAATAAAGACGGAAATGTGTATGACAGGATGACGACTCAGTGGTCTACTAGTTAGACACTCACCACGTGATCTGGAGGTCTCGATCTCGTTCTCCGATAGCATCGTATGTTTGAGTATTCTCAGCATACGATGAATAAGCTGTTCCCCGTTTTTCACTTATAAGTTGACTGAGGTCAGTACGTGAAGAAGGTAATCTCCAAAAGCGTCTCCATCAAAAAATAAATTACTGGTTGAATTTTCAACATCATTGAATGAGGGAATGTTTAGCAACGATGTGAGAGATCAACAGAACATTATCAACTTCAATGTTTACAGTAACTTAATTTAAACCGTTTAATTATGGTGGTAAAGTTGGGATATCACACGAGGATTTTGATTGTTTTCACCGGTTAACTAACTTTAAAATTCGTGTGGTGTCGCTCAGATGCGAGTGAACGATACCTTTTAATCACGATGTTAAATTAACACAACTTTGAAGTACCTTGTTTAGTTATATCTTCTGTCCATCCCATGGATTTCCCAATATGAAATCCACATACGTGGACTTACATAGGGAGATCGAGTATAAAATGTTAACCTTTTCATATTTCTTATTTAATCTTTGAAATCTTAATTAAGTCCACTTTGTCATACAAAATATTCTAACTTGGAATAAACTCAATTTGGTTGTTTTTATCCTCTTACTTTAATCTTTATACTAATCTAGTAAAAATGAGTTTAGATGTACACTGATTTCTAGCTGATGTTTATGTCAATGAGATAGATATTTAATGTCCATCCACTATCCAAAAGATACTTTAAACGTACTAATATGAAGTTAGTTGCCATTACAACAATAAATCAAATTACAGTAATAAATCAAAAAACTACATCTAAATATACCAATAGATATGGATAGGTCTGTTTTTGAAGATCAACTAGATTAGCCAGTATTCCACATCACCACCATCACCACATAATACCTGTCACTTTCCGAAAACAATAACTCCTAGTTCAGGTTCTTTTGAGTCATTAACTCCATTAGGCTTCACCTAAATAAAATAACTAGAGAATTGAATTCTATCAAATTGACTTCCCGATTTTTTCTTTTGATACCTTCTGCATTTCTGTTTTTTTAAATGAACTGTTGCCTATATAACGTTAATCCTCGGATAGCCTAGTGGAAGGTCTCTGATTATGAAGCTGGGTGAGAAAGGATCGAGTCCGTCAGGGAGCACCAGTTCCCTCAAAATTACAGGTGCCAAATAGCACGAAATCTGCGTCCAGGATTTCGTGTTGACTACCTCCAACCACCATCTTATGATAATCCTCATAGAAAATGTCATAATTACTTGTCATTTCCTTTCGAATTGTCTGATGAGTTAACCTGAAAGTAAAAGTGTTTCGTTCCAGTGATATTTTCTTCATCTTTCATCAGTTTACATCCAATCGTGTTACGTACCTAATTGATAATGCATAGAAACTTCTGGATCAGTTGGTGACATAGAAGTATAATATACTTGAATGGAGACATTAATAATAATAATAGTAATAATAATACTTGAAATGAATTTCATTTAGCAGGTCAAAGTAATGGTGTTTACGCGCATATTTCATATTAGAATAAGTAAAGTTATTATCACAAGATCCACTAGGTAACTTTAGATAAGTATGATCAACGGTGAAAACTGATGACTGCCCATAAAAACTGACTGTTTCAATGAGGATGAAATCATTGGAGATTTTTGTGATGATAAAATTGGTTCACCTAACATCTTCACTTAACCTTCATTTATTAGGATAAATGAACTTTGAAACATTGTGAAATCCAGTTCATTCGATGTTAAATAAATCTTCATATTTTGTTGTTGTAAGATCGAGTCCTACTCTAGGTGTCCATTTGAAGTCAAGATTGCATACTGAATTGAAACGTTACTAATTAAAAACTGGGAAAACATTTCATTCATTATCTAAGTTAAAGTCACCCGCCAATCTTGAAATTGTTTCTCTAGTTGCTCAATACCTAACTATACTGTATCACTGGATAAAAACATTTTTTAATCCTAAAACCTCACCGGATGTTATCAATGAAGACAAACTGACAATTATCAGTATGAAAATTTGTGGAGATTATAGTATTTTAACCGTTGAATTCACGAGTCATCAATGAAAACCTGGAAGGAGTAGACGGCCGTTCCCGCCTATTGTGTGTCTAAATTACAGTGGTTATCCACGATACCATTTCGCGAGATTCGAACTCAAGACCTATCAGTCTCGTGCACAAACGCTTAACCTCCAGACCAATGGTCTGGAGGGCATCCAACGGTTTTAATGTCTAACTTTAATAAATCCACGAAATTGAGCTACACATTCACTCACTTACTATCTCACAACAGACCCTGTTGAACTTCACTAGTCACTGCTTCTCATTAGAACTCCAGAAAAAAACCTCTTGAATCCAATCACTAGTGAGTATATGTTGAATAATATGAGAAGGAGTTTTTCGTGGATATTATAGTAATTTCAAAATGTTCGATTGTCTCCATTCCTATATGTTGTTCACTACATTATCATCAGTCGTTTCCAACGATGAATAAACAATTCACTATGAAATAATATAACCATTTATTTATCTAGTAATAACAATATTTAATAATAAAATCACAACAAAACGAAACATAAAAGATCTTTTGAATGACTGATATACAAGAGAAAGAACAAAACAAAAACAAAGAGGGAGAACATAGTTAACTATTGCATTTTATATTGTGTGTGTGTGTGTTTTTGTATTTTTTTCGAACAAACACTGGTACATTCACATGAAGATATGAATAAAAGTACTGGCAAGAACAAAACAAAGAAATGATGAATACATTTTTAAAAAAAAACAAGGAGAACAATTATATTCAAGCTAATATACGTGTACAATTTCACCGATATTAAATTGTGTAATCATACTACTGATAAAATGATGAGTAGTTTCTGAAATCATGAAGAACTCACGTGACGTGTTATTCATTAACTCGAATTATTATTATTAGTAGTATTAGTATTAGTATTATTATTATAAATCAATAATGGCTTATGATTTGTTTCTATGGATAAATCATTCTCTGATAAATGACGTAATGATCTTGGTGCTGTACGTCTTGATAAAATCAATATATCTGTACCATCATAATCAGAATAATAATAATTAATATAATTAAATTTACATTTAATAATATTGATAACTTGTTTTTTAAATTTATTACATGTAAGAAAATAAATAAAAAAATTACATGCATAATGTGATGCACAAAATGCATCAATTAAACCTTTAGTTGTTATCCGTTGAAAAAATATTGTCCATTCATTTGATTGATGAATAGCTTGATCTGTTAAACAATCATCTGGTTGTAACCAATGAAATTGTATTAAATACATAATACCAGTTGGTACTGTACATGCAATTAAATAAAATGATAATATAATTAACATTAATGTAGCCGATATAAATTGAGTTGATTCTTTAGTTAAATGATCTTGTGTTGTATTCATTTGTATTGTTTTAATTGGACTAAATTTTGGTGTACCATCATCTCCTAATGATCCATCACGTTTATTATCATTTAAACCATCAGCAGTATTCGTAGTGTTACTTATTAAATTATGAGTAGTATGATTATTATTACTAAATTTTCTTCGTTTAAAGAATCGTTTATATGTAAATCTACTCTTTTCATTATGAGTAGTATTTATAGTTGATGAATTCATTGATTGATGCTTTGAAATTTTTAATAAATGACTTGATTTAATTAATCTTCTCATTTCACATAATACTAATATATTAAATATTAATGTAGCTAATGGTATAACTAATGAAAATAATACTTCTTGTACAAATAATAATGTTTGAAATTTTTCATCCATAGCTACATTAATACGCATACGACATTCACCATTATCATATGTCCATAATATAGCCTGTGATAATGTTGGTCCAATAATAAATAAAGATAAAATGAATACAGCTAATATAGCTCTTTTAGTTGTACATAATTTATGCCGTTTAAATGGGAAACATACAGCTAAATAACGTTCTAATGTAAAACCAAATACTAATACAATGGAATAATATTGTGTAAATATAAATAAACATTGAAATAATTGACATATACCCGGTGTTATAATCACACCGCGTATACACCAATAACGTTCTAAATCATAATTTAATAATAATAATATAAGTATAAGATCAGTGATAGATAATGTAGCTAAATAAATAGCTGAACTATTCTTACGTCTTTGCTGTTTCGAGATCCATATTAAAAATGATAAAGAATTACCGAAAATACCACTAATTAACCAGATTAACATAAATATTCTTACAATATATAAAAAAATTGGCATAAATTTTCTTTGTAATTCACATTGTGGATAACGATCATAAATTGAAATTGGATCAATATTGGATTCATTTAATAAATAACGCATAGTACAATTTAAATGGATTGTATCATTTAGATCGGTCATTATATTTTTTTGTTGTTGTTGAAATTTTATTTATGGATAATGATCGATTTGTTTTGTTTATTGTTGTTGTTATGGTGGTGGTGGTGGTGGCGGTGGTGGTGTTGTACAAAAGACGATTAATGAATGTTAACAGTCGTAAAATACCTATGTGGAAACAAAAAGAAGCACAAAGACAATACAATAACAAAGTAGTTATAGATGATGTTAAATAAGTAACTAAAAATCATTAAACAGAATACTTTAAAGGTTAAAGTAATCTGATTTCAACTATAAGATGATGATAGGCTTGAAACGTTCTCAGTTTTTGAGTAGTTTTTTAAAACTACGATCAGTAATATGAACAGTTTTGTTTGAAATCCGAATTTATGAATAAATCACAAATTACACACCATTTATCATGATAATACTTTGACGCTGTTGGATGCCAGCCGGTTCAGTGGTCTAGAGGTTAGGCGTTCGCGTGCGAGACCGAAGGCCCTGAGTTTGAAGCTCATGAGGCAGGATCGTGGATGCGCACTGCCACTGAGGAGCCTCACAGTAGGACGAAACGACCGTCCAGTGCATCCAGGTTTTCAATGGTGCTCTAGCTTCAATCGAATCACGGTCTTAACTGTTAACATTACTATAATATCCGCAAAAACACCTGATATTAATTAACACATGCTCACTAGTGACTTGATTCAAGAGGTATTTTCTGGAGTTCTAATGAGAAGCAGTGACTAGTGGAGTTCAACCGAGTTTGTTGTGAGATAGTAACTGACTGAAGACAATGGAGAATGGTATTGCAATATGGATGATTAGTTGAAGTTAGACGTAAACACTATTGGATGCCGGCTCAGTGGTCTCGAGGTTAAGCGTTCGCACGTGAAACCGAAAGCCCTGGATTCGAATCCTGCGAGCGTTGATACGCATTGCTAACGAGTCCCACGATAGGACGAAACGGCCACCCAGTACTTAGAGGTTTTCAATGGTGATCTAACATTAATCGGTTTGTGATCACAACCTTATACTGATAAAAATGATTTCCTAAACGTTGAGTACATTTATAATATAGGAGTAATAGTCGAAAGAGTTTAAGCATATCAAGAGTGAAACACTTATCATAGCATACAATAAATGTGATAGTCATGCAATAATACGAAATGACTGAATTCCAATTAAATAATTCAGATTAAGTGGTATGAAGCTTATTTACTCATCCAGAGAATCAATAGTATGAGATTGGCCTAGTTGAAAACTGTCTATTTAGAAAACAAAACAACAATTAAATATTATCTGATTATCTAATTACTACCGTTTATAAATGAAAATTGAATTCATATTGTATAAACTTGAAAAAATCTACACCCTATTTACTTTTATAACAGGAAAGTTTGACAGAAATCATATATTCAACATAATCTATTCTTAATTGCCCTCAAAGGACTACATATATTACCGACTTGAAATCTCCACAGTTTCATAGATTTTTCATAATATGTAGAAGTATTTAATCAGTTGGTGAAAATAAAATCAGTAATTACTTATCAAGTTTACATTTACAACATGTACGCTAAAGTGTTTTACTATGAGTAATTTATAATCAAATGCTATAAGTTACTTATATAACGATTGAAAACCTGATACTATCCACATGGACCCCTCTAAATTAGGTAGTAACAATTCTACCAATGATCTAATGTATGAATTTTAGGTTTCCAGTCAAAAAATTTACTTTTAAACCATTGAATAGGAATACACATAATCTAGAATCAATCATAACTGATTAAAATTCGTTATCAAAACAAGATAAGAAAACACAAAGGTAGATATTGGCTAATAGTGGAATCCAGTTTGACACGCATCTCGTCCTATTCGGGACTCGTCAACTAGATGTACTTGTATCTCAGAGTTGACGTTCACTCTGGGACTCGAACTCATTATCGTTCGCTTCAAAGGCCATCTCGCTATCCACTGCTAGCCACTATCCATTTCTTACAAGAAAAGACTGACAATATTGTTTGTAGTTACTCTGTGATAGGATACAAAAGGTTTTCATAATTACTCTTTACTAATGTATTAATTAAATGACTTTATGTGTTACTGTACACAAATTTACATTTGTGCATACATGGAAGAATTAACACAAAAAAATTTGATGAAATGACTTCAGTTTATCCTACAGTACTCCATCTGTAGCGTTTCTAAAGTTATTATCAGTCCGAAACTCGGGTAAAAAAAAAGAGGATCAGGCATAGGATTAGCAACCATAACCCATAGAAACAAACTCTACAGTATTTGTTGTTCTTACTTCTAAAAATGAAATATGTAGTGAATGTTGTCGATTGCACTAAACACATCATTGATTCAATCTCATGGTATATAAGAAAGAAATTACAAAATAAATCAAGGTATTGAATTGAGATAAAAAAATTTTAAAAAGGTTCTCATAATTTCAATTATCTCATCAACCAGTAAGATTATAATACATTTGCAATACTAACAAGTTACCAAGTGGTTACACCCAAAATCAATGATAATCTGAATATTTTGTATGTCTGTGTGTGCTGATGGGTGGGTGTTTGGGTATTTGTAGGTGTATGACCTATTTGCGTTAATTCACTACAAAAATTGATTGTGCTTCTCTTATTACTTATATGAGTATTTTAAACTACCTTGATTGAGATTTATTTTATTTTATTTGATCTATCTATGTGTGAACAAGTAAATATGGATTAGACAACATGTTTAAACCTGACATTGTATATGGCTTATCAATTTGTTCTTTTTTTAACACAATCACGGTAGGGGTGTTGTTTACGAAATTAAGAGGACGAAAAGTGAATGTCCGACACTTTAACCGGGTTGTTGGACACGGAGAGTCCACCGAGGGAAGTTGGAACACCCTCATTCCAAACCAATGGTGAACATGGGCTTCTGTATCGTGGAGGAACAAATGGAGTATGAACCAACCGTTGGTCATCGGCTACCATGGGACAGCGTGTTCTGACAATGCTCGACTACCTCGTGGACCAGACCTTAAGGTCGAAGGTTCTGTGCGTGACTCCCAAAGAAAACCACCTTCTTCGGCTTGGACACCCGGGCAGTGTGGCAGTCCTCGCACAAATCAAATGAGATTTGTGTGGCGCATATGTATTTGGTGTCTCTTTGTACCAATATTTATATGTTCAAATAAAAAAATAAACAAAGTGACTCTTGTTAAGTATCTCTCAACGGATAGTAGTTAGAAATCGGAGGTATTAGGTACTAACCCAGACGTCTAGAATATAACATGCTCAATATGATACCTGAAATCCCTGGTTTCAAATCTTCATTTAAGTTTTGATTGTTCATTGCCAAAGCTAAGGTTAGTCTAGTCAAAATTAATCTGTAGTGTAAGATACATATCATAAAAATTAAATTATATAATTAAGAAGCTAATACATAATGAGCAATTGTTCAAATGTAAATAAAGGAATTTAATTGTCCTTATTGTATATGACATGATTAGATTGTATTTCATACGCTAAACTTTATAGATAAGCCAAAAGGAGTCGAAAACTTAACTTTTAGGTTCTTGGGTACGAAAAGTAATGAATTACATTTGTATACTGCTCAAAATGTTTAAAATGATAGCGGGAAAATACATCTTGAAGCTGTAATGTATGAATGGGTGTTAAACGTATGAAATGGCTAATTCTGTCTGTTTAGATTATCTACACCAGGTGAATCGACAACACCCTTAGATCTAATCCTTAAACTCTTAGTTTGGAAATAAACATTGAACTGATGGCATTACATTTTATTGATGAATTGATCAAACAACTTCACTTGTATTTTTGAGTGAAATTCATCCACATGTCTGTAGAACATATTTACATTATAGCTGATGTCAATTAGTGATTAAAACTCCTACTCTAAACCACTAACCTTCACTCGAAATACCTAATTATAACTGGGAACAATATACAGACTTTCAGTATCTGTTTAGGTCCCTGTAAGGATTTGAAAAAAAAAAGCAAAAAAGTACAAGTTTATATGTTGTTGATCTTTTGAATTACATACAGAGTAACCTGTTACCGTTAGCGTTTCTTAAGCAAGCTTCTTTTTCTACGGGATGGGGTCGCTAACCCCATACCCAACCCTCCTCCTTTATCCAGGCTCAGGACCGGCAGTAGCCCCAGAGGGGCTCCGGGTGGAGTAATGTGTTACCGACATTATTAGATATTCCAATTATTGTAAATTTTTCTGGTTAGCGTTTTTTAGAGAGAGAACAAACCAGCTTCCTGCTGAACTGGAAATTAGGAGAGGAAGGAGAAAATGGATAGGACATACTTTACGCAAATCATCAAACTGCATCACGAGACAAGTCCTAACTTGTAATCTTGAAAGGAAGCAGAAGAGAGGAAGGCCAAAGAACACATTATGTCGGGAAATAGAAGCAAACATGAAAAAGATGAATAACAACTGGAAAGAGCTGGAAAGGATTGCTCAGGACAGTGTTGGATGGAGAGTGCTGGTGAACGGCCTATGCTCCTCCAAGAGAAGTAACAGGAGTAAGTAAGTAAGTAATTATTGTAAAGTCAGTTCACAATATGCAATTTCTCTTTTCTTCTCCACAAACTAACCATTTAGGGAAAGTGTTTCATTTAACTTGGTTGTATTTTTTTACTTATTATCAAGTCGGTTCATGTTTCTCACTTAGTGACTATAGTATCACGGAAAACAAGCGAACACTGAACAGATTTTTTGTCTCGTATTCACTTGGTAAAAGAGGAATAATTAAGACTTCACCTAATATTGCTCTAATCATTCAATATAATCTGATTAATCAATTTTACTACTGAAATGAACAAGCAACACATAATACGAATAACTAATCGGAAACATTTACAACCAGATTTCATTAAATCTGATCAGATTCGATCAAATATTGATGAAGTTGTAATTTTATGATCCTGAACATCAGGAACCCGTTGAATATTAAGTAGATAAATATCAAGTGCTGGCTCAGTAGTCTGGTGGTTAAGCGTTCTCGCTCCAGACGAGTAGGTTCTGTTTTCGAATATCTCAAGACAGGATCGTGAAATGCGCATTGCTGAAGAGTCCCGTACTAGAATGAGACGGCCGTCCGGTGTATCCAGGTTTCCCATGATGATCTAGCTTCAATTGACTCATGATCTCAACTATTAACATTACTATAATATCCACAAAAACCTCTTCTGATATGAATTAACATATGCTAACTAGTGACTGGCTTCAAGAGGTATACCCTGGAGTTCTAGTGAGAAATAGTGACAAGTTGAATTCAGCCAGGTCTGCTGTGAGATAGTAACTCACTGATGACAACGGCGGATTAGTTGAAGTTAGATATTAATAGCACTGGATGCCGACCGGCTCAATGGTGTAGAGGTTAAGCGCTCGCGCGCGAGACTAATAGGTTCTGTGTTCGAATCCATCAGGATGGGATCGTGGATGCGCACTGTCACCGAAGAGTCCCAAAGTAGGACGAAGCGGCCGTCTAGTGCTTCCAGGTTTATCATGGTGGTTTAGCTTCAATTGACTTATGATCTCAACTATTGAAATTACTATAATATCTATAAAAACCCCTTCTGATATTAACACAGATAAAGTGAACAATGAATGTTCCATAGCCTTTGTTATTTTACATTTATTCATTCTTACTTAATACTTGAAATTTCACATTAATTAAATTATTTTCTATCATTCTATTAACTCCATCTGGAACCCCTCTGTAGCTACAGCTGATCCCAAGTCCAGATAAAAGAAGAGGGTTGGGCATAGATTTAGAGTACCCTATCCCGTGGTAAACTAGAAAAATCCTTATCATTCTCTATTTGTCTTTCAATTATCTCATAAATTTTTATTGAATAAATAAATAAACAAACAAACTATTTGTAATCTATTTCTGTTTTAACTATTCAACAATCATAAATGAATTAGGGGCGGATATGGTAATTATGGTTATTTGCTTTGTTTTATTGAAAATCAACAACTAATCATTAATCACTGATCTATTATCAATTTATAGATTGACAAAGTGTTTTTTTCGGGGTGGGGGGAGGGAAGGGGAAACCATACCCACTGAATGTATCATTGTTTGTTTATTTTTAGTAGAATTTCATGTTTCTATATTCAATGATTTACCGGTAATATATGTGCTTGTAGTTTTGCATGGGAACTAACTATTCACACACCTATATATACATCTGATTAAATCAGTCTTTGATTTGAGTCGATAATTCAATCATAATAGTTGGAAATAGGTTCTCTGTGTTTATTTGATCTTTTTTTCTCTTTTTTTTGTATGTTAGAGATAAAGAGTCATGAAAAGTGAGTATCGTGTAGTATCTAAATTGAATGAGATGAACAGTATTATTCTGTTCAATAAATAACCCACAATCGATTAAATAAACCAACAAAAAAATTATCCTATTTTCATATTTAGTTTACTAAACAACCTGGAAAATTGTTATAAGTCATGGTTATTATATGCTTAATTAGTCCAATTCTTATCAGTATTAAACGTGACTATTAAAATAGTGAACTTATATTCAATTTTCCAGTATCTATTCATACAGAGAATTTAGGAACTGCAAGCACTCAAAAATTCATAAATTTCATTAGTTGATATCATGAGTAAATTGAATCTAGACCACTATGGAAAACCTGAAAGCAATGGATGACCGTTTCGTCCCATCGTCGGACTCCTCAGTGGCAGTGAGCATCCATGATACCGTCTCGCCAGATTCCAATATAGGACCTATCAGTGTCGCCCACGAACACTCAACATCGAGACCACTAAGGTGATATCCAACACTGTTAATATCTAAATTCAACTGATCCACGAGATTGAGCGACACATCCACCACTGTCACCACTCAGTTACTATCTCACAAAAGACCCTGTTGAACTCCTCTAGTCACTGCTTCTCATTAGAACTCCAGAAAATACGTCTTGAATCCAATCACTAGTGAGTATATGTTGATTAATATGAGAAGGAGTTTTTGTAGATATTCTAGTAATTTCAATAGTTGAGATCATGAGTCAATTGAAGCTAGACCACGAAGGAAAACTTGGAAGCACTGGACGGTCGTTTCGTTCTACTGTGAGGCTCCTCGATGGCAGTACGCACTCACGATCCCGTCTCGCGAGATTCAAACTCAGGACCTATCAGTCTGGCGCGCAAACGCTTAATCCCGACACCACTGAGCTGACCGGCATGCGACGGTGTTAATATCTAACGTCAACTAAATGTGAAGAACGACGACTAAATATAGGTTGGAAAAATCGGTGTAATCATCCAACCTAGAAAGGGATAAGATTATCACAAAGCAATATGAAAGGTGATGAAATTGAACCCTCTTCAGAACTGTTGAAGGGAAATCTGTCTTTTCACTATCAATCTCCACTTTTTATTGTGATCTTTGTATTATAAACTGTTTTGACTGGTTTAATCATTTTTAATAAAATATATATTAGATTAAAGTCTGATAACAGTCTAATTGAAAGCACTATTGTTCACTTATATATGTTGTTTTGATTACTATAATGTATGTGGGAAACTTAAGACTAGCATCCATGTTAGTCAGAATGATATTAGCTCAAACTACTACACCACACTCATCAATGAATACTTATAGCGAAAGAAATTCATAATTAAAAAGAATGATTTAATCTGACCATTGAATATCAAATGTTATGTAACTATGTGCATATGAAATAATGTCAGATGGTTACAGGAGTCACCTCCAATAATGCCGCATGCGAAGAAATTAATGTGAAACAACAAATATCAATTATGTAGAAGAATAATTAGAGTTTGACTCGCATATAAGCAAATAATAAAACAATCCTTATCAATGACAGGATGAAAAGCGAATATCCGACGCTTTAACCGGGGTGGTGGACACGGAAAGTCCACTTAAGGGAGTTGGAACACCCTCATTCCAAGCCAATGATGCACATAGGCTCCAGGATCTTGAAGGAACAAATGGCGTATAAACCAATCGTGATCATCGGCTACCATTGGACTGCATCTTGTGACGTTGCTCCACTGCCTTATGGATCAGACCTTCATGTCGATATCTCCGGGAGTAGCCCTCTCTAAGATAACTACCTGCTTCGGTTTGTGTTGTAACGTGTGGACTGCAGGTTAGATGCTCAGCGTTTTATTGATCGATTCAGTGACACGTAAAACACGTAATGAACGACCTAGAGTCCCGATTGGTCCTGCTTCGCCGTCTAGCCCAGCCAGCTGAGTCCAGAACACAAGCCACAGCCTCGGAGATATGAATCATTATATTTCAGACATACTCTGTTTATATGCCAACCAAGCAAACCACATCGTACCATAAAATAGAAAACAACATTTACACAATATTCAACAAGTGAAATAAATATCGACCAATAGGGAGTGTACATTTAAAGTCCAAGGCCACAATTAGACTTAACATGATAATTATTGGTATATCTCTCTCAACATCCTAACACCTCCCTTTATTTGGAGATCCGGAGTTGATATCCGGATTTTAAAATTCTCCGCATCCGTCCACCCCCGCGAAATATTGTTGAGTCTTCATATCCTGAAGTTACAATTAATTTGACTGCATTTAAAACATATGGAACAGGGAATCCAGTAAGAGTGACCAGATCGTGAGGATAAACGCCATTCAATTCGAAGTCATCAGAGTTTGAATCTTCTAGAGCATTGTCATTGAAATTCTTGAAAATCTTATTAGTAGATAGTTGATCACTGGGATAGTCAGCGTACGACAAAACTGCACCAGGTTCTTGACTATTTTTTGATGCATGTGACATATTTTCTGGAACGAGGGGTTCTTCTTTTGAGCTGAACTCCTCACTGTCTGTACATGTTTCGGGCAGTGGGATTTGAACCGACGACAGGGCATGTTTCTGAATTGGATATTTCTGGATCGCTGGACGGATCATGAGCGACTGCCTCGTTTGCATTACTGCTCGTCAGGGATTCATGGAGGCTTTTATTGGCACATTCATACGTCCTGCAGTCATTTTCGAGTTCAGTATGCGAGTGAGAAATTACTTAATCAATTTCTGTCACATCTCCGAAACATGGAAGATCTAGCAGTCGTGTGCGTAAATTGTCCAAAACATTCAACTGGCTCTTTCTGAAATGCTGCTGTTCGCGGTCAAATAGTAACTGCAATTGATCGGGAAGGATAGTCATTTTCTGAACCAGCAGGGTAATGAGAAATACTGTGATCAATTAACAACCAATGACTCCCAAGGACGCCGATGACGAATCTAGATACTGATTGGTCAAAATAATTATGCTGAATCTCGTCCAATTAGAGGGTTCAAAATTTTCACTACCCCGTCGCCAGTTGTTGTAACGTGTGAGACTGCAGATTTTGATGTTAGAACATGATTGAAAACCTGGAAGCACTGAACAGCCGTTTCGTCCTATTGTGGTACTCCTTAGCAGGACGAGACGGCCATCCAATGCTTCCAGGTTTTTAATGGTGATCTAACACCAATTGATTCATGATTTCAATCAAATACGTAATAATCTCCATAACTCTATACTTATAATAATCTATCGAAGAATTTATGAATTAGTATCAGAAGGGGTTTTGTGGATATTACAGTAATTTTAATAGTTAAGATCATCAGTCAGTTGAAGCCAGACCATCAGGTAAAACCTGGAAGCACGGGACTGATAGGTCCTGAGTTTGAATCTCGCGAGACGGGATCGTGAGTGCGTACTGCCATCGAGGAGCCTCACAGTAGAACGAAACGACCGTCCAGTGCTTCCAAGTTTTCCTTCGTGGTCTAGCTTCAATTGACTCATGATCTCAACTATTGAAATTACTAGAATATCTACAAAAACTCCTTCTCATATTAATCAACATATACTCACTAGTGATTGGATTCAAGACGTATTTTCTGGAGTTCTAATGAGAAGCAGTGACTAGAGGAGTTCAACAGGGTCTTTTGTGAGATAGTAACTGAGTGGTGACAGTGGTGGATGTGTCGCTCAATCTCGTGGATCAGTTGAATTTAGATATTAACAGTGTTGGATATCACCTTAGTGGTCTCGATGTTGAGTGTTCGTGGGCGACACTGATAGGTCCTATATTGGAATCTGGCGAGACGGTATCATGGATGCTCACTGCCACTGAGGAGTCCGACGATGGGACGAAACGGTCATCCATTGCTTTCAGGTTTTCCATAGTGGTCTAGATTCAATTTACTCATGATATCAACCATTGAAATAATTTTAATTATTGCCCAGTGATTAGTTTAATGTTTATTTGTTGAAGTTTGACCTACTTCCTGTGCCAAACTATTGATTATAGCTTACATCATTTTGTTATTCTCATCCTTATTATTAGTATACCCATCTTCTTACTATCTATTTATGGTTTTTACCGATTACGTATCTATTTCATTATAATTGTTGATTCATGATTTACCTTAACCAGTTTAATAATTTCATATTAAGATTCATTTATATTAAAATAAAGCCTAATGCAAATTTGATTGAAGGTAATATTGTTCTGTTATCTATTATGTTCAATAAGCAACAGTTAGAAAAGGAATTATGAAGAGGAGTAACTACTAAAAGCGTTTAACAAGTATCAAACTAATTCTGTTCAATCTATTTTTATGAGTAATTGCTCAATAGCTGTGAAATAAATCTGTGTATAGACAAATGATTTACTCATATACTACGAATTACGGTCATTTAATGTTGTCAATTAATTGAAGTCCAGTATGTTATGGACTGAACACTACTACTACTACTACTACTACTACTACTACTACTACTACTACTACTACTACTACTACTACTACTACTACTACTACTACTACTACTACTACTACTACTACTACTACTACTACTACTACTACTACTACTACTACTACTATACTACTACTACTACTACTACTACTACTACTACTACTACTACTACTACTACTACTACTACTACTACTACTACTACTACTACTACTACTACTACTACTACTACTACTACTACTACTACTACTACTACTACTACTACTACTACTACTACTACTACTACTACTACTACTACTACTACTACTACTACTACTACTACTACTACTACTACTACTACTACTACTACTACTAATACTACTACTACTACTACTACTACTACTACTACTACTACTAGTACTACTACTACTAATATACTACTACTAGTACTACTACTACTAGTACTACTACTACTAGTACTACTACTACTAGTACTACTACTACTAGTACTACTACTACTAGTACTACTACTACTACTACTACTACTACTACTACTACTACTACTACTACTACTACTACTACTACTACTACTACTACTACTACTACTACTACTACTACTACTACTACTACTACTACTACTACTACTACTACTACTACTACTACTACTACTACTACTACTACTACTACTACTACTACTACTACTACTACTACTACTACTACTACTACTACTACTACTACTACTACTACTACTACTACTACTACTACTACTACTACTACTACTACTACTACTACTACTACTACTACTACTACTACTACTACTACTACTACTACTACTACTACTACTACTACTACTACTACTACTACTACTACTACTACTACTACTACTACTACTACTACTACTACTACTACTACTACTACTACTACTACTACTACTACTACTACTACTACTGCTACTACTACTACTACTACTACTACTACTACTACTACTACTACTACTACTACTACTACTACTACTACTACTACTACTACTACTACTACTACTACTACTACTACTACTACTACTACTAGTACTACTACTACTACTACTACTACTACTACTACTACTACTACTACTACTACTACTACTACTAGTAGTAGTAGTAGTAGTAGTAGTAGTAGTAGTAGTAGTAGTAGTAGTAATAGTAGTATTAGTGCTAGTAGTAGTAGTATGAAGTTAATGATATGAGACTAACGGGTTGAATACTTGATTGAATATTAGATATTCGATTCAGATCATGAACCGAATGATGTTAGACTACTACTGAGAACCGAGAAGCACCGGACAGCCACTTTGTCCTATTATGGGACTCCCTAATGGCAGTGCGCATCCATGATCCCATTTCGAGAGATGAGAACACAGAATCTATCAGTCTCGCACGCGAACACCTAACCTCTACATTACTGAGCTGGCCGACATCCAACGGTGTTACTATCTAACATCAAATAACCCACGAAATTGATCGACCCATCCACCATTGTCATCAGTCAGTTACTATCTAACAACAGACTCGGTTGAACTCCACTAGTCACTGTTCCTCACTAGAACACCAGGAAATAACTCTTGAAGCCAATCACCAATGTGCATATTGTGATTATCATCAAAGAGGGGTTTTTATAGATCTTATTAGTATATTCAATAATTGAATTCATGAATCATAATAACATTAATATAAATGAAATTCATATTTGTAATTATTTACCTGAATGTTCAATTGTACATTATTGATAATTGAATTTAGAATTTAAAAAAATGTCATTATATTAATCTTTTGATTATTCTAATGAAAATTATTTAGGCTTATTAATATACATAAACAATTACGGATATTAATATAAGTAGTATTAATATTAGTAGTATATATATTAGCATTATTATTATTATTATTGATTAATTAATACTTTAAGGTGTTCAACATTCAATTATTCACAACTTCTAGCTGACTCTTTGTTTTAATAATAAGAGTAATTGTTTACTATTCAATGAATTGATTACTGAGATTACTATTACTATTACTATGATTATTATTATTATTATCATCATCATGATTGTAATTGTTTTGTTTGTTTGTTTGTTTTAATGCGTTATTTGTTATTGTGTAAAGCAGAAATATTAAAACAAAAAAGATGAAAGGAAAGAGTTTTGTTTCAGGAAACAGAAATGTTCAATCATTTCTCATTGAATTTCACTGTCTCTATTCTTTTTCTATTTTGTTAATTCGATATTTTTGTTGTTTATGTTTTCGATTCAATCTATTTCATGTTCTTTGTTGTTGTTGTTGCTGTTGTTGTTGTTCTCGTATGACTTGAAAATGTTTTCATAGTGAATAATGTTGTTTGTATTGTTTCTGTTCAATGTAACAAACTATTAAGTGAAACAGGTTGTAAAAATTAGTTTAGTTTAATAGGAATTTGTCTCTTGTATCATCATCATCATCATCATCATCATCATCATCATCATCATCATCATCATCATCATCATCATCATCATCATCATCATCATCATCATCATCATCATCATCATCATCATCATCATCATCATCATCATCATCATCATCATCATCATCATCATCATCATCATCATCATCATCATCATCATCATCATCATCATCATCATCATCATCATCATCATCATCATCATCATCATCATCATCATCATCATCATCATCATCATCATCATCATCATCATCATCATCATCATCATCATCATCATCATCATCATCATCATCATCATCATCATCATCATCATCATCATCATCATCATCATCATCATCATCATCATCATCATCATCATCATCATCATCATCATCATCATCATCATCATCATCATCATCATCATCATCATCATCATCATCATCATCATCATCATCATCATCATCATCATCATCTCATCATCATCATCATCATCATCATCATCATCATCATCATCATCATCATCATCATCATCATCATCATCATCATCATCATCATCATCATCATCATCATCATCATCATCATCATCATCATCATCATCATCATCATCATCATCATCATCATCATCATCATCATCATCATCATCATCATCATCATCATCATCATCATCATCATCATCATCATCATCATCATCATCATCATCATCATCATCATCATCATCATCATCATCATCATCATCATCATCATCATCATCATCATCATCATCATCATCATCATCATCATCATCATCATCATCATCATCATCATCATCATCATCATCATCATCATCATCATCATCATCATCATCATCATCATCATCATCATCATCATCATCATCATCATCATCATCATCATCATCATCATCATCATCATCATCATCATCATCATCATCATCATCATCATCATCATCATCATCATCATCATCATCATCATCATCATCATCATCATCATCATCATCATCATCATCATCATCATCATCATCATCATCATCATCATCATCATCATCATCATCATCATCATCATCATCATCATCATCATCATCATCATCATCATCATCATCATCATCATCATCATCATCATCATCATCATCATCATCATCATCATCATCATCATCATCATCATCATCATCATCATCATCATCATCATCATCATCATCATCATCATCATCATCATCATCATCATCATCATCATCATCATCATCATCATCATCATCATCATCATCATCATCATCATCATCATCATCATCATCATCATCATCATCATCATCATCATCATCATCATCATCATCAATAGTAGTTGAGTTTGATGAGTGTGTCTCACATAAGATACGTATCTTCTGTGATATTAGACGGTTGTCAACTCATATAGACAATAGTTTGAGTTACGTATGTAGGTTGTTAGATTCCAATCCATCTATTTAAAGATAAAGCGTTCAGTGTCACCCTAAAACATTGTAGACTCTAATATATATAAGGTTTTAGATGTTCATTGTTGATATGTTAGTTCACTTATTCATTATTAACATCATTAAAACAATGAATAAAGTTATCCAGTCTTAACGTATGTTAGATTCACAGTTTTAATCAGTGTAAGTTCGACCGAGATTTCTTAGTTTTTAAATAATAGGGTCTTGGAAACGAACAGTAGTGAGTTCGAGTTCTGGAGTGACTATCAACACTGCGATGCAAATAAATCCAGCTGACGAGTCCGAAGTAGGACGAAACATGCATCCTGGACTCCATTGCTAGCCATTATCCATCTTTTCCTATAAAACTTGTGACTTAAAGCAATGTAAAGGCAATCTGCATAGGATGGACATATGCCAATTTCAGTCTTGAACAATCATGGAGACATTCAAATAAACAATGCCAAGTGAATTTAATAAGTTCCTTGTTTTTCAAAAAATATAAGTCATGTGTAACTATTTTAAAGTTATTTATTAAAATGTGAATATTTTACAAGTGGATTCGAAGTATAAATTCAACTCTACCACTTGTAAACAATGAAAAAGTAGTCAAATCACATGTCATTCATTCATCATTATGAATTATTAGATGAAATGATAATTCCTATTTAAAAGAATGAAAATTAGTGATCTGAAAGGAGAAGGTAATTTAATGAATGTATTCATAGTTTGAAGCTGATTTTTTGGTAGAGATCATGAACCGATTGATGTTGAACCATTGAAAACCTGGACTGAAAAGATAGACTATCATGGAAAACCTGGATGGCCATTTCGTCTTACTGTGGGACTTCTCAGCAGTGAGAATCTACAAGCCCACCCCACACGAGACCGATAGGTCGTCGGTTCGAATCTTGCAAGACGGGATCTTGTACGCACACTACTGATCAGTCCCATAGTAGGACGAAACGGCCGTCCAGTGCTTTCAGGTTCTCAATGGTGGTCTAACTTCAATTGACTCATAATCTCAACTATTGAACTAATAATAATATTAATAGTAGCAGTGTAATGAACAAGAACACGAGTTAGAACAATCGAACACAATTAAATATGGAATTACAAAACATTTTACTAAAATCCTAGAACTATACAGTAAATATTTAATTTGCAAAATATTAATCAATGGTCTAAAACTTGACTGTTCCTTTTGCAGAGTATCAATCAATCATCTCAGATTTCATTTCTATTGAATTTTCATATCAATTGCTTTCCATTTCCGTTCTTTCCTACCGAAATACATACCATTCCTGACTATTGTTATATGCTACTTATGTGAATATAAGTAGTTCACAACACAGTAATAGTAACAATAACAATAACAATAATAATAATAATAATAATAATAATAATAATAATAATAGTAAAGATATTGTATAGTTTTTTTATGCACCAATAACCTTAACCATGAACATGATGTAAATCGTTTTATTAAGAAGAATAATAATATTTAAGGAATATAATTATCATTTATGTTTCAATGAAACGCTTCTTATTCGACCTTAAATTGTTTTAATCAAATCCTGTTCAATTATAATAATAATAATAAGTAGTAATTATAATTAATTGATCATTTATTAGTTGAAGACCATTATTCAATAATGAATAGAAACAAAAAGGTTTTTATATGATTATCATTAATGGAATTAATAAGTATAGATATTTAATCTGATATTCATAATGATTGTTAGATGGTGTTATGGGACTGAATTTGAGGTGCTAGTTAGAGTGGTCTGTTGAGTGGAGTTGACGTCGAATGAAGTGTTCTGCAGGGGTGGTATTAGATGTAGCAGTTGCTGTCGACGGAGAGGAGAGTAAGGCATGCAGCTGCTGGGTGAACACCGGATTTAGATGGCTCAGTAGGTCGCTGGAGCGCAGGTGTTGAATGTCCTAAATGCTCGATAAACACCGGATTTTGGTGGCCCGTCAGATCGATGGAGCCATGGAGGTCAATGCGCTGCAGGCTCACCATTTTAAGGAAGAGCGTAATACAGACTGCAGAGAAGAAGAAAGTAGTATGGCGAGCAGAACCACCTCAAGAACGACTGCTTCAAAGGGGGGGTGAGTGTGGTGTGTGCTATGGATATAAGTAGTATTTACCATCAATTGAAAGTGAAATTTCTGACGGTAGAAGGTGAAGAAGATCAAAGAAAAGAGAACGAGAACAAAGAATGATTGGTGTGGAAACCAAAGAATAATGAAATCTGAGATGATAGATTGATATTTGATATATATATAGCTCAATTAGCTAACTTATCAGCCTTTCATTTTGTTAAGTTTTTTCACTGTTCATAAATTACCATTCTGCATTTAATATTGTGCTATCTAGATCTTCAATTGAAATAGATTACACTGATATGGTGATCAATTCGTCCATACATGATAGTCTTACCGAATTCTTTATGTGACACTCTTACAAATAATGCTATTGATGCAAAATATTATCTCTGTTCTTTGATGAATGTTTTATTACTAACAGCATTTACAACCCGGTTTATTTATATGTCTCTACTTCATTGAAAATGTATGACGAATGACTTTGTATTAGTACGTAAATAGAAGGATAGAAAAGATTGATATCAATATTGGTTATGCAGATTAAGTTTTTGATTGAGATCATTAATCGATTGATGTTAGATCATCATGGAAAACACAGAAGCATTGGACAGCTGTTTTGTCCTAGTTTGGGACTTCTCAGCATAGATAAATGGTTGCGCAGCCATTCATAAATCGATGGAAGTTAGACATTAACACCTTTAGATGCCGTTTTGATGGTTTAGAGGTTAAGTGTTCGAGCATGAGACCGGAGATCCTGTTCGAGTACCACGTGCGGAATCATGGATGCGCACTGGTGAGGAATCTCATATTAGAAGAAAAGATTGTACTATAAAGTGATTCAAGATGGTAAGTATCTTTTCCATCGTTACACCATATAACTATAAATACGAATATACAGCTTAGGTAAATGATTTCGTAGAAATGAAAATTCTCTTTATTTTCATTCAACGACACAATGGATAATTTAAATAATCTAAATAAATAGGCATACATATTATGTGTTCAACATATATATAATGATTGGAAACAATCACATCGACTTAAACATAGTTAATGTACAGGAAAGATTGCATATAAGGATATAGTACAGGAAGAAAGAATTAGTTGGTAGAAAGAAAGATGTGAAGCGATTTTAATCTCATAGTTTAAAGGAAGACAGAAGGTGAATATACCTACGCCATTGTGATCGATTCTGAGCCATGTCACACAAAGTCTCTAACCATTCGTTACGATAGTCACGCGGACCCCAACCAAGCAGTTCGCATCTAACAACATGACTCAGACCAGAAGTCAGTGACTTCAACTACTGATGCCACATTTTGCTGTGGCCGCCCCTAACTCTCTTCCAACACTAGTCAGCATTGTGCGTCATGGTAATCCGTGTTCAGACATACGTAACACGTGGCCCAACCATCTCAGTCGAGGAACATTCACTACCTCATCAACTGATTTTCCATCATTCGTTAATACCCTGTGTCAAACCTCACTATTATTTACCCGGTGATCCCAGCAGACGCGAACAATATTTCTAAGACATCTACGATCAAATACTAGTAACTTAGGAGTATCTCTGACTCTTACTGGCCACGTTCCATAGCCGTAAAGTAGAACACAACAAACTGCCGTGCAGTATACTCGTCCCTTAATTGATAGACATATATCTCGCCTCCGCCATAGATGACGTAAGTTGGCAAAGGCAAAACAATCATTGCGAATCCTTGCAGAGATTTCGTCAGACACCAACTCATTAGTGCTAATCAGACTTCCAAGATAAGTGAAGTTTTCAATGCGTTCAACTAGTTCACTCCCTATCCTTAGTTCAAATATTGACGCGGACCAATCTTAAAGCAACAACTTGCATTCACAGAGAGGGGAGGGTAAGGGGAGCGAGAAGAATCCGATTACATAATTCATTAGGAATATCTAGACGTATTTAAATGATTCCATTCTATTTTCATTTTATATAATTGAGACAGTCAGTGATAAAAGAATTGTGTGATATCGCTAATTCATTAAACATTGTGTGATTTCATTAATTTGATGTAATTAATAATAGAGAATGAAGGAAAAAAACTAGAAGGGAGAAGAATGAATGAATCATTAAATAAACCTAAATCGTTGGGGAACAATGATTGAAATTTTATTGTTTCATGCATTACGTGCAATCAGTCAATAAATATTGATATTTAAGAAATATTATCAGAAGGGGTTTTGTGGAGATTTCAGAAATTTCACTGATTGAAATCATGGGTCAAATGAAGCTAGACCACCATGGAAAACCTGGAAGCACTCGACGGCCTTTTCGTTCTAGTATGGGACTCCTTAGTAATGCTCATTCACGGTACTTCACTAGGGATTCGAACCCAGGACCTATCAGTCTCGCACCAGGCGCTTGACCAACGAGACCACCCGCAGGGTGCGGAATCGAGAATGTGCACTGTTTAGGGGTCCCATACTAGAACAAAAAGGCCGTCTAGTGCTTCCAGGTTTTCCATGGTTGCCTAGCTTTAATTGACTCATGATCCGAACCATTGAAATTACTACAATCTCCACAAAACGCCCTTCTAATCATATCAGTTCATGATGAATACACTTCACTGATATTAGTTAGATAACCATTAGAAATTAGAATAAACAACATTGATAAGTTACATGATTCTAATGTGGGACTGATCTTCAATGTGGATCTACAACCCAAATATGGATAACATTTACAATCTCTATGTAAATGATATGGATTCGATTGATTTATACAGAATGTACTATAATGCATGAG